AGAGGAGATCAGAAGATGTGGCCTCCCTGCCCCTTTGGCAATACATAATTGCAAGTTACTAAGATTTAAGCTTAAAAGTTACTTGTCCAGGTTATATGTGTCTTTCTGCTCATGTAAAGTGATAAATCAGCATGGAATTGGACATGAATTTTGCCCAGAATTCTATTTCCACATAATCAGTTGTGAGTTGCATTTGCCAACAAACACAAAGTCACAGTAAACCAAGAGGGTAAAACTCAGTGAGACATTATTATGATTTGAATGCTGGGATATCTGTGTTAATTTTAATATCAGCCCCACTGATTCCTAGTTCTCAGCTACCTTATCTCATGGAAGTACTGAGCCTACCTCTTCACTATTCACTAGGCATATCCTACCATTTCTTCATTTCTTCTTTCTTTTCTAAACTGTTTTAAGTGATTCAAAGGTGAAGTCAAGTTATACTTCATCTTTCCTTCTTATGGATAAAGAGCATGTGTCTAAGATGGAAGTTTATAAAATCTTCTCATAGAGATAACATACAACTGCTTTATCCTCTAAAACACTAAGATTTACTCTTTGCTCCAGTCAACCCCCATGTTCTTTCCACTGAACTCTACTATGCATTGTAAGAAAATACATATTTAAATCCCCACTGAATCATTCTGATGTGAACCAAGCCTGTTTTACTATCTGGAATCAAAATAAACATTAAAGTCTCCAGGAAAAAAAAAAAAAAATTCCAGAGCTGGCCATTGGCAATCTGGATTCATTGTATCAGCACTGCAGACAGACAGGGCACTCCAGGAAAAAAAAAAAAAAAATGCAGCTGTGTTGCACTGTGTGTGTTCTGATCCTCTGCAGGATTAGACTTTCTACCAGTTTTCCAATGAAACAAAACCATTATATGAGGAAGGCTAAAATTTTACTTAAGACTAAAGATAGCCATAAAAGTTTATGAACAAGTTTTGCAAGTATTTGCATGTATGTATTTTGGTGGGTTATTTTTAGTCAGGAATCCCTGGGTGATGCACATGGTTAGTGTGCTCATCTGTTAACTGAAAGGTTGGAGATTTGAGTCTGCCCACAGGCACCTCAGAAGAAATCCATTCCCAAAACACCAGCCAGTGGAAGCAGGTTTATCTGACACACACAGTTACTATGAGATAGAGTCGATTCAGCAATGTTGGTGTTTTTATTTTATGTCAAACTAGCTAATGTCTTGTTCATGAAGGAAAATTTCATACTTGTTATGTTCAGCTGAGCATGCCTCCAAAGCTTGAGAGGCAGCTTTTTATTGTCATCTTCAGCACCCTACTCCCTCATTGCAATTAGTCAAGTAGAGAGGAATAAAGGAGGCCAAGATGAGAACTATACTTCTGGGAAAGCAAATCACTGAAAACCTTCTGAAATTAAAAATGGTACCAGACACAAGATATATTTCAGTTGTGTTCATGAGCTACAATGTCCCTCTTTCCCTGTTTTCCTCTTTGCTAATGCCCCAGCCATCCTTTTCCTAGTGTTCAGTGAATGGCTTTATAATCTAACTCTCTCTGCCCACCCTTTCTCTATAGCTGTCCTTCATTGGATATTGCCTAATTCAAGTTCTGTTCTTTTCTCTTTACTTTTCTACTCTTCTTAATGACCATCATTCATTTCTTTGCCAAGTACATGATTTGTCTTTCTTTGCTAAGGTTAGTCAGTCCTAAAGAGTCAAGGACTTTATCTGTGTGACCCCAAGGTGTTTTATACACAGAGGGTGCTCAGTAAATACTTCTGCTAAAGGCGCAAGGAGGCTGCATCTTCTGACTTTCTTTAACCCCACAAGAGGAGGACAGAATCACTATCAGCAGCCCAAGCCTATGCCTGTGAGGCCAGACAAGCTGCCTCCCTTCAGTCCTCTTACTAACCTTGTCACCAACCATTCCTTCCATGGCACCCACCACCTCTCTGTTGGGTTCAATAATTTGCTGCAGTAGCCACACAGAACTCACAGATTATGGGGTTTCTTAGGGAAGGAACAGGCTATAATTCAAGTTCAGGAACAGGCTCAGTCTCTCTCAGCTGGCTGTCTCTCTTTCAGCTGACAGTCTCTCTTAGTAGTACATCTCTTTTTCAGCAGCATGTCTCACTCAGTCTCTAGCAGCCAGTTGTTTCACTCAGCAGCCGGCAGTCTATCTCAGTAACATATCACTGTCTTAGCAGTGCGTGTCTCTCATGTCTCCCTCTCTCAGTGTGTCTCTCTCAGCAGTGTGTCTCTCAGTTTCTGCTGGCAATGAGAGATTCTCTCCTCTTGCCTCTAGGAAGTCTCCTTTTTGAGCCTGGCAGAGTGGCCAAAACCAACCAGTCCCATCCGAATTCTATACACCTGAGAGACAGTGAACTTCCCAGAAGATTGCTTCGTACCACTCCAATAGAAATATACCAGGTGTATAATTTTAACAATCAGCTATGCAAGACTAAGGGAGGTGGGTGGTTTACAAAGACGATGGATAAAAAAGCAATACCATGTAATTTACTACACTGCAATTTCTTAAATCATTTTAAAGAAGCCTGAAAAACTTGGCTGTCTGAAAGGGAGAGGAAGGAATCTGAAGAAATGTCTTGAATATATATATTTAGGCCATATTTCACATGAGCATTAGACACAGAAGTCCCAATACCCACAGCACCCTTCCACTGTGATGTCCTTCAAGCACCCAAAACACAGCATCATCTTTCCCTTTAAAATCTTCCCAACTCAATGATTGTGAAACCACTAACTAGGCAGAAGGCTATCCAGTAACCAGAACATCTGCCTTGACTCTAAATAATGCCTGAGACCTTTCAATTGTACTATTTAAATATACCTTAAATTTCCACAACTCTCCAATTTTCCCACCAGAAAGAAAGAGGCAACCATTTCTTCCTGAATTATTGTAAAAGACTCTTAACAGGGCTCCTAAATTTTAGTCTTTCCCCTTCTGTTGAATATATACGCTGTACCCAGAATTACCTTTCTAAAGGATGAAGTATGAAACTTCTCTCCTTAAAATCTTGGTCTCCTAGAATGAAATTTAAACTCCTCACTGAGCATATATGATGTGGCCCCTGTGATCTCTGACCATCTCTCATATTCTCCTCACACGATACTCTTGACAATGCAGCCAGGCTGGACTTCCTTCAGTTCCTCAAATAAAGCCCTACATGCATACACAACCCCCCACACACTATCTTTCCTTATTCCCCAAATTTGACTTTATCATTGACACAACATTCTAAATTATATCACTTTTAATACTCTGCATGCGTACAAATGTGCTACTGAAGTTTGTGCATCTTTCATGAAGCTGCAAAGTCAGGGAGAGCAGGAACCTTGCCTATATATCCTTTTTAAGTTTTCACTTATTAAACACATAATATGATCTGGGCACTTTTCTAACATTCTCAACAACGTTATGAAGTAGATAGTATTAAAAAAAAAAAAAAAAAATCCCTATTTGACAGGAACCTGAGGCACAGAAAGACTAAGTACCTAATCCAGTACAGCTAATAAATTGAGCTGAAATTTCAACTCAGGTGGTTGGGCTCCAGTGCCCTCAGCCCTAATAATTATGTTAAGCTGCCTGTGTTATTTATCACTATGCTTCCAGTGCCTACCTCAGTGCCAGACAGTTAATAGGTTCAGTTCAGAATAGATTTGTTGAATTACAAAAAAATATATAAGAGTTGAAATTTCTATCAGATGATGGAAGTATGATGGCTGAACAAGGGAGGAATGGTATCCTGCAAGAGAGGAAGTGTGAAAAAAAGCTATTTAAAAAAAAAAAAAACTTTGGTACTTAAGTGAATAAGGAAGTTGACAGTGCTTAGGGGAATATGATTGTTTTAGGAAGATTCTAGTAGATGAGTATATGAAAGCCCCAAGGAAAGCTAGAAAGGCTAATTATTCCCACAATAGGAGCCAAGGGAAAGTATATTTAGCTTTTAATCTATACATAAACCACCTTTGACAACAAAAGTTCATGCTAACCTAGAACTAGGAAAGAACACAAACAGTAGAAAAGCAGGGCCAGAGATAAGGAAGAGAAATGAGCTAAACTGGCGTTTATCATGGACTCAGAGGTAGGACATGTGCATGAACATCAAGGACTAATTTTTATCAAAAAGAAGAGGCCACCCATGCAAAGCATGTGTCTGCCATGATATAGTGTCTACTGTGTGGAATTGAGGAAAAGAAAGTTTCTGATAAATAAAAGAGTTGGTATAATCACAATATGTGATGCAGACTTGTTAGAGTCCTATCTTGTGGAGCATAGCATCTTTTCGGTTGATAAACCCCTTGAGCATGTGAAGGGAATGAATATATCCAGGACAGCAGGGGCCATTGAACAAAGTTCCCAGGGTGCAGGAGCGTAGGAGAATTATTTTCCTTTTATCAACTGGGAAGCAACTTACACCCAGGGAGATTTAATGCAATGACTAGAAGTAATATGTCCTCCTCCTTTCTAATAATATTTTTTACAGCACATTTTATTTTCTTCTTTATTGTGCTTTATATTTTCAATGTAACCCACAATGGAACAGATAATAGTTTGATAATGAGAAAAAAAAATATTTTACAAAGAAAAATTAGATGTCCTGAAATGCCCAAAGTAAAATATTAGGTTCTTTCTATTCTTCTTTTTATTTTTGTACAACTATTGTACAAAGAAATCTTGCTGTGTAACCATCACCAGTACTTTTGGTAAAACTCTGTACTTCCTAAACTATAACTCACCCTTTCTCCTTCCGTCCTGAAATAAATTGTGATATATACATGCAACGGCATATTACTCAGCTATAAAGAAAAATGAAGTTCTAATGTATGCTCTGATAGGGATGCACCTTGAGAACATAATGCTGAGTGAAGTAAGGCAATCACAAAGAGACAAATATTATATGATCTCACTTATGTGAAATATCTAGAACATGTCATGGATAGAGACCAAAGTCGAGTAGTATAAATAATTAACTGTGGTCTTTGTGCTGCTTCTTTTTAGAATGCCCAATAAGTTACTGCAAAAATGGTGGCACTTGTCTAGTGGAGAAAAATGGTCCTGTGTGTCGGTAAGGAGGATTGTCTTTTTTTCTCTGTTTTAAACTTTTATTCTAGTTGTTTAATATCAATGAATATGTGGTAAAAATAGTACATAGTGGCACTATTTGTATATGTCTGAATAAGAGAAAGGATGATGTAGGCATATTTCAGAAATATGTCAATTGTTAACATGATTTTGTATGTCTTTAAAGATTTTTATTATATGGAATATGTAGTCTTAATAATGTTCATTATTCCTAGTTTTAAATATTTATAGCAGGTTTTAAAGAGATTCTTTTATCATATGGTACCCTATTTCAAACTAACTTAGCATCTGTGTTTACTTCTCTTTTTATTTCAAATTCCATAGCTTTCTTTTCTAACAAAAAGTGATGAATTAATTCACAAGTAAGACCTTTTTCTGGTTTAGGAAATGGGTATTTGTGAATTAGTTAAAGTTAAGGTACAGAAAAGAAATATATTTGTATGCTCAAAGTAAGAATAAACAAAAAGAGGCCTTGTGATATCTTTTGGGATTTATTGATATTCAAAGATAGTTTGATTTTTTTCTAACCCATTAGAGAATTGTGCAAAACATTTTCATAAACTCCAAAGGAAATAATGCATATTCCATTATTTTTGTGTTTATGACTTTTTAATTTAGCAGACCCATGCATAGTACTTTGCTTGTTAGAGACATTATTACAGGTTCATATTCAAGTCTTAACAAAACACAGGTAAGTATCTGGCAAATACTGATTAATAGTTATTTAAATCCTTTTATCCTTCTGAGTCAACGTTTGTATGTTAGGACAGCAGTTTATTCCTTAAAGAGCAAAATTAAAACAACAGCAAACATTTCATAATAAGATATTTAGACATTACTTTAACATTGTTAAAACTGAATTACTGAGTTTCTCAAAGTGTTTTTCCTCTCAAATGCACTACATAATTTATTTCAGAACATCTCAAGAGAATTACAACTTGCCCTAGATCAATTTCCATAAAAATTAATTTATCATAAACTGTTACTTGATGGAAAGAAGTATATTAAGTTGTAAAATCTCCCAAAACAAATTGAGAATGATGTCATAAATAATCTTTATCAAATGTCAGCTAAATGCATGATATTGAGTGTCAACAGTTATAGCAAGAAGGTTTGAATTTTTTCTTCACTAGCTGTGATCCTTACATTAGAAAGCTCCCATTTACAGATAGCCTCAGAGCAAGCAGAGAGCTTTGCATTCCTTGGCAACCTCCTCACCAACTTAAATAAACTTCAGAAACTGAAATCCAGAAGGTGGAGTCCTAAAGTTGTTTCTCTCTAATGAGGAAATGCTGAAGATGTTATGGGAGGATTGAGAGAGGAATAAAATAAAAAGGAAATCGGTGGGACAGAATATAGGAAATAATTCACTGATAGAAAAGTTAATCAAATAATTTAATATACTTATGAATAAATGTTTTTTAAATAGTCAAATAACTATACTATCAAAATAAATAAATTTGTTACATTTGGAATTAGTTCTATCTACAATATGGGTGTGAAAAAATGCATTTTCTTTTTTTACATATTATAATAGTATTTTCGTTTAAATATTTCTTTACACCTGTGAACTGAAAAAGTAACGTATGTGTATTGTAACAGATTTAAAAAAAAAAAAAATCGTATAATGGTGTATCAGGAAAAAAGTAGATATCTCCTTACACTCAAATTTCACTCCTTAATTGTTTATTTATACCAAGTTGGATACTTTTTTCTTTCAAATATACATGCACACAAAAATATACACATTTATTTTTTTCAGAAAAGTAAATTATACCTTACATATTTCTTTGTACTTTGAAGTTTTTTCTCTTTATGAAGTATCATGGCTGTTCTTCCATGTTAGTACATATGTGTCTAGATCTAGCACTTACTGACTGTGTGGGTATTGGTGGTGTTCCTTAACATTCCAGTCATTTGGGTGGTTTTTCCGTGAAATGGAAATAACAATAGCACTTATCTCAAAAGGGTGTTAAAAGACTTTGACTTAACCTTACCAATTATTTAAAGTATAAGACCTTACTGAAATACCAAATAGTAATGTAAATTATGTCTACTTAAAGTTAGTGTCAAAGTGGGGATTCAAACATCCAGTTTATTTTTCACTTATAGGTAGTTTTTTTCTGAATTTAAGGTTAAATGATGACTTGGCTTTACAATAATAAAGTGTTAGAGAACTAAAGGAGCACTGTAGAAAGTTGATGTCTACCTCAAACCATACCCTTTCTTTCCAATTCGCTGAGTGTGGAATTTGTGTGTTTGGGAGCTGAATCTGAGCTGTGAAGACATAGAAGTGCTCCAGAATAGAATATAGGAGTGGGACTTTATTGTCTTCATCATCTGGAGAGAGCCAAAGAACCAAGGACAGAAGACTAAAGCCTACCTCATATCCAAGCCATTTGTGGACACAAGAATTTCATAGTTTCTCGAGGGTGTTAAGGGGCTGTCACCGATGCCTTTAGATATTCTCTTGGACTCTCAGGTCCCTTGGGAAAGAACTTTCAGGTGACACCTGTAAAATCTGGGAGAAGAGAGGCATCATAAGAATGTCATCAGGTTTCTAAGGATTTTATACTTCTCCACAAGAACAGAAACTACTCTGTAGACAGCTTTGCCATTACTTGTGAAACACCAACAGCCTGACATGTTGGAGGTTTGAAGAAGTAAACCATGAACCAATAGAAGGAAATTTACCCTCACTAAGTAGGCTTGATTATTTTATTATTATGATCTATCAATACATCTATTAGGATAAAGAGATGAATCATAAAAGCCTAAACCATGTAATATAAATGGAAATAATAAGAAAAAAAAGAAATATCAGCAAAGGAAAGAAATAGGAAAAGGCATATAATAAAAATATCTAGCAAAAAATTAAGTAGAAGGAATAAATACAATATATCACAAATCACAAAAGTGAAAATGATAGTCAATCAAAACACAATGACTGAAAAATATATAAACAAATATCTCT